GAAGGGTGTGTGTGGGTGTGGGTGTGTGTGGTGTGTGTTGGTGGGGCTGGGATAAAGTAAAATTGGCATAATGTTACAATGTTGATAATGGGTACATGAGGAATTCATTATATTATTCTCTCTTCTGTGATAAAAATTTGGAGTTCTCTTATCGCAAGAGTATATATTTCCTAAATCACCCAAAGGCAATATCCTAGTCATTTTGCTTGGTTTTAATACTGAAAACCCTAAACTCATGGAGAATGCTAGTATGAGAGGTACAGTTTATTTATTTTTTAAAAAATCAGTGAGTAGAGAAAGTCAAGAAATCGGTATTTTTAAAAATGCTATATCAGCAAAAAGGTAACTTTAAAAGAAAGCAAAAAGAATGAGCAAAAAAGAAAGAGAGAGAACTCATGGTCATGGATAGCGGTGTGGTGATGCAGGGGGTGGAGAAGAGTCGGTGGAGCTGGAAGAGGGCACAGAGGGGATAAATGGTGATGGAAAAAATAAAGTAAAAACACACAAAAATGAAAGCAAAAATAAATCCTAGAGCAGAGAAATACAATAACTAAGATGAAAAATTCACTAGAGAGATTTTCAAAGGCAGATTTGAGCAGGCAGAAGAAATATAATAACAGCCTGAAGATAGGACAATTGAAATTATTGAGTTTGATGTGCAGAAAGAAAAATGATTAAAGAAAAGTGAACAGAGCCTAAAGGACCTCTGTGGGAGTTCCAGAAGGAGAAGGAAAGCAAAAGACAGTGGATTATTTAAAGAAATAATGGCCTAGCCCTGGCTGGTTTGGCTCAGCGGTTAGAGCGTGGGCCTGCAGTCCAGAGAGGCCCGGGGTTTGGTTCCTGCTAAGGGCACGTACCTCAGTTGCAGTTTGTCCCCGGCCCTGGCTGGGTCCCGTGGAAGGCAGCCACTCAATGTGTCCCTTTCGCATTGATGTTTCTCTCTCTCTCTCTCCTTCCCACTCTATCTGAACAAAAAAATGGAAAAATGTCCTCGGGTGAGGATAAAAAAAATCAGTAAATAAATAAATCATCTTACTTAAAAAAAAAAGAAATAATGACCTAAAACTTCCCATATTTGATGGAAGATATGAATATAAACAAGAAGCTCAACAAACTTCAAGTAGGATAAAATCAAATAAGTCCATATTATAATCAAACTTTGAAAGACAAAGAAAGAATCTTGAAAGCAGCAAGAAAAAATGACTGTCACATACAAGGCATATTAAATAAGATTGCAAACCTTAAAAGTCAGAGGTCAGTGAGCCAAGTATTGGTGAGCATGTGAAGAAGTTGAAACCTCTGTGTACCGGTGGTGGGAATGTAAAATGGTACAACCACTTTGGGAAACAGTAAGGTCATCCTCAAAAAATAGCTAAAATGGAAGCAACCTAAGTGTCCATTCTCAGATGAATGGATAAACAAAATGTCATACACATGTACACAAAGGAATTACTATTCAGCATAAAAAAGAAAAAATTTCTGACATGCTACAATGGATGAATCTTGAGAACATTATGCTAAGGGAAATAAGCCAGCCACAAAAAGACAAATATTGCATGACTCCACTTGTATGAGATTTGTAGAGTAGTCAAAATCATAAAAACAGAAAGTAGAATGGTGGTTGCCAAGGACCGGGCAAAGAGAGAAATGGGAAGTCAATCACCAAAAGGCATAAAGTTTCAGTTAAGCAAGATGAATGAGCTCTAGTGATCTGCTGTATAATCTTGAACTGTGGTCAACAATAAATACTGTACACTTAAACATTTGTTAAGAGGGTAGAGCTCATGTTAAATGTTCTTACAATAGAGTAAAAAAAGAAAATGGTAAAGAACACAGATACGTGACTGTTATATATTTGTATGTGTGTAAAACAAATGGGGATGTGTTGTTTAATGGGTATAGAGTTTCAATTTTTCAAGATAAAGAGTTCGGGAGATAGATGGTGGTGAAGGTTTCATAAGAATATGAATGTACTTAATTCCACTGAACTTCATGCTTAAACATGGTGAAGGTGGTAAATTCTATGCTATGTGTATTTTACCACAATAATAATAATAATAATAAAAACTCAAGGAAAAAAATAGGCTAAAAATGGCCTGCTAAAAATAGGCTAAAACGGCCTGCTAAAAAATGGTCTACTGATACAACCTCATTAGAACTAATTTATCCACCCATTCATCTCAGAATCTCAAATGACCACCCACTGTTTCTACTCCCAGCAAACTATATCATTCTTTAAAAAACACTTGTAGAATATAATTAACTTTCTGGGAAAGTGTCAAAACTGATTAAAGAACACTATCATCAAATGTCACTCTTAGTTTAAAAGTCTTATCTGCAATGGGAAGCAAAGTAACTCAGAAATTGCCAACCTAAAGACTAAAGAGTCTGACCTCCATTCTCTCAACGCCTTAAAGCCTGTGCCCTTTTTGCAGACACTATAATTTGCATTCCTACTCCTAAACATCTCTGCAGCCAAGTGGTCTGTCCAGCCATGGAAGGCTTGTAACAGATACTCTTCCCAGGCTGGCTGTGATGACCGGCCTCCCAAATGACTGGGTTCCTTGATCATGTTGCCATTGGGCCCACAGGTCTAATTATGCTAAGAAACGCCTTTAATTAATATGACCTAATCAAGTCAACTTAGGACTCTGGAATGTGATTACTGATGTAAACCAAATTTACTCTTCATCATTAATGATGCTCATCAGATGTTCCTCAACTCTAACTTTGTACATAATTCTTCAGAAGATCAATGATATTGATGTTATCCAATGTGGAAACATACATTGTAATGTTTCATTGACTGGCTTTACATGTGGCATTCCCTTAAACAAACACATCACAGGTATATATTTTAACGATTTTATTTTATGCTGCCTAAATTTTTAAAGTTAGGTCATTCACAATGTTTTTTCAGTATTTAAAAGATCCCACTAAATATATTTTAGTTATAAGATTTACCACAAACATGCTGTTATATATAAATATATGTATATGCAAATATATCATGTATGTATATGTTATAAATTGGCTCCATGGACCTTTAGGGGATTTATTGGTGTGTGTGTATTGTACTCTGTTGTGGAAAAATGGTCCTTGCACTGTATTTAACTTGCACTGTATTCTCAAAATGGTCTGTGATCAACCCCTCACAACCACTATACAAAACTGGTTAGAAAACTAAGCTGTACAGTCCAAATATTTAGTAGCCATTAGTCACTCATGGCTGTTGAGCACTTGAATCGTGGCAAATGTGAACTGGATTTTGAAGAATTGATATGAAAAAGAAGATATAAAATAAATGATTTGTACATTGATTACACATATTGAAATAATGCTTGAGATATAGTGGGTTAAATAAAATATATAATTAGCTTTATCTGTCTCATTTTGTTTTTGTTTATGTGGCTGCTAGAAAATTTAAAATTATCTATGTGACTCACTATATTTCTACTGGACAGCACTGGTTTAGGAAAAGTCAAAATTAGCCACAGGCATATTGCTGATTTTAGGATGCTCCTACTAGAAAACAATTTCTATAATACTATAGTTCCAAAATTGAATTCTAAGAGAGGTTTTAGCAAAAATGTCTACTAAATGTCTACACTACTCCTAAGAGTAAGATTTAAAAGCATAGATACTTTCATCCAATTGTTCCCCCATAATTTCCTTTAGCGAATCACGAATTTGGAAGGATTCTGATATCAGCTCTGAACCACTGGCATCCATATTTGCAGACTTCATGTGGTGCATTTTGATAAGAACCTCAGGATAATAATGACTCAAAGCAAACTTTTGCTTTCAGCACACCAATAAGATGCTACATTTTAGAAGCCCAGAATACATAATAGGAAACATACATGAAAAAATATCTCAAGGAAAACTGGAATTCCCAATGTTAAAAGTATATACATATGATACTTTCATGAATCTAATGAGTCACTTAATGTGGTGACTATTTTCATCCCCTTTTTATAGATACGAAAACGGGTTCAAAAAGCTTGACTCACCCTTTGAGAACAAGAACTCTGTCTTGTTGTCCACAGTGTACTTGGAGGCTAGCACTTGGCCTGGCACACAGGTGCTCAGTAAATGGTCATTGGCTATAAATGACAGTCTACTAATTTCAACACAAGATTACTTTCTAAAGAGGTTCTGATTACAACATCCTTGCTTTTTTCTTTTTCTTCCTGATACCACAGGCTGGTAGAGATTGGTGTACATAACTAATTTTTAAAAAATCCTCACCATAACTGATAGGATAAAAATATTTTCATTGTGTAGGTTAACGAAACTTTTGTGTTTTTGTTTTTTGAAAGCAAACTAATGTTAAACCATGCAAGCCTCCTGGTTCCTACACAGTACAAGTGCCAGCAGGACTGGATATCACACCTAATTGGTTGGCCTGGCATTCAAAGCACTAAACAAATGGAACATCTTTGTCCCTCACCCAAAGTAATAAAGTGCAGCGCAAAGCTACTCCCCACTGCCTGCAACACAAGGGTCTTAATCTCACTCAGCTGCTTCTGATCTTTGGAGTTCTGGGTTTTCTCCTTGCCTTCATCCCAGCTGCCTCTTCTCCGCGTTGGAGAATGAACGACCAACAATATTTCTCTAAAAGTTTAAAGCTCTACTCATAGGTTAAAAACAAACACTAGATATTAGCTCTTGAGAGCTGAGTCCTAGTTCCTCAAGGAATCCGGGTCCTGGGGCGAAATGCCTCCAGCGACAATTCTTGTTTCATTCAACTTCTGAGCGCGAGCTGAGCCTGGTGCATTTGCTCACACAGACTCACACGCCTGGGCGCGCTCCCACATACCACTGCAGGGTGAGTCTCGGCCTCTCCGGGAGCCTAACCTGGAGATCTGAAAGGAGATCGCACCCGGTCCCCCTCCTTCCCCTCCAAACCCGGGACAACACCTCGTCCGCACGCCCAGAAAGGCAAAGCGAACACATTCCCTTCCCGGTCCTGCCCAGGAACGTTCGCTTCTATTTACCGTCTTGTACCACCAGCTTGCGAATGCCATGGTTATAACCGGTTTGCTCTGAGCAGCACCGCGCAGGACCGGGCGAGAACTCGGGGTGCGGTGCTGAAGGCGCTGGGCTCTCACACCACCTGCCCTGGACTTGGCTGGCACTGTGCTCTGCAAGTCCCGTAGCTGCAGGTCTGCGGACACCTGGGCTGGGCCTGACACGGGCCCCGCCCCAAACGGGATGGCCCCGCCCCCCGATTTGCCTCGGGGCGGGTTAGCGAAGGTGTTCTTTCTCCAGGCAGCCACGCCCTGCAGCCCCGACTCTACGGGGTAGGCAGGATCCCGCAGTCTGGGGCGGGGGGATCCCGAACGAACTTTGATCCCCTTTCATCCCCATATCATTTCACTCGAGTCTCACCAACCAACTTTTCCCGACGCGCCCCCGCCCCCATCCGCCTCGCGCCACGCCCAGGGCGTTGGGCCCCGGCCCGGGAATCCCTGGCCACCTCCAGTCACCTGCCCTGCCCACCGCGGGCACTGAGCCCAGCCGTCACCCTTCCCTGGAACAGGAAGGTGTCCCGGGCGGCATCTGGCAGGCTACGCCCAGAGGAGGCGGCCCGCGGCTTCTGGGCTGGGGTCCTCCCGGTGCACGGCCCTGCGGCCGGGCTGGGGCGCCACTCACCTCCTGGGTGTGGCGGGCCGCTGCAGCTCGCCGGGGCCGCGGGGAGGCGGCGGGCTTCTGGCCCGACTGGGACATGGCGAGGCGGCGACGAGCGCTGCCTCCCGGACGGCGCAGCGAAGACTGGAAGGGAGGCCGCCTGGGGCGGGGAGGGGCCGGCGGGCGCGCCCGTGAGGCAGCTTTTCCGACCCAGTCCCGAGCCCGAGCTTGGGCTGCCCTGAGCCCCACTGGGCCCTCCCCTTCCTGCCCGCTGCTGGCTGTAGCGGTCCGGGCCTGAAACGTAACACCCTCGGCCCCAAGTCATCACTGTGACCCTCCCCGTTTCCCCAGCACTGCTCAATTCCCTGGGGTCACAGAGAGGAGGGGCTGGAGGTCGCGGGGTTCCTCCTTCCACTTGCCCAGACTTGTGCAGTTGTGCAACAGGAGAGCGGGACCCGGGCGTGGACTCTTCTCCCTAGGAATCTGGAGGAATAGACACACTTTCTGCAGACGGCCCTGGCTGAGCTAGGATTTACCAACTCAAATCTAGCCCCAGCCTGGACCGTCTGGTTAAGAAAGCGGGTCACAAAAACAAATTGATCTGTGTGTTTGTGTATGTGCGTGTGCGCGCGCCTGTGTATGCTTTATGCCATTTTACTTTTTTTTTTTTTCGGGGTGGGGGTGCAATGTGGCAAGTTTAACAATGTTTTATGGGGAGGAAGCTGCAGGTTCCAATCCAAACCCAAGAGCAGTCTCAAGTTTAAATCCCTTATAGCCTTTGGAGCCTGGCGGGTGTACTTTCTGAGGCTGGATTGCTTTTGTCTGTGGCTCGTTTTAAACGGCACTTCCTGGTTTGAGGGTGGAAGTGAAATGTAACAAGCTGACTAGAAAACGCTCATCTGCAGGGACTGTCAGCCTGCGGTTGCTGCCGGTTTGTGATCAGACCTGACTGAAAAACCTGTTACCCTGCGATGGCATTGGCACGCTCTACAGGGCTGGGTTTCAGGCAGTTGAAGAGAAAGAGACTAGATTATAGGAAAAGATTTGTCATGCTATAGGGATCTTGGCAGAATGGAATTCTTGCGTTTTCTCAGTTTTAAGGATTCTGACTTCCCCTTTACTCAAGACACTGCCTACCCTCATTCTTAACAGGGGGAGCAGGGAGGGATTATGTAAAAGCATTTCCTCTTAAGAGGTTCTACATACTGTGTAGGTATGTAGTATTTTCCACAAACAGGCTGCAGTCGGCTGGAATTTATATGTAAAAGGAATATATACAGTACATAGAAAATGAAACGACTTGGATATAGAGTCTATGATAGTCATTTCAAGAAAAATTGGTTGATGGCATCAATTACATGCATTGTTGGGGGACATGTCATAAGCCTGAAAAATGTTTTTAGGGTTGTGACCAAACAACTACAGTAATTTAAGCAAACACTAAAAATATAGGGGTGAGGTGATAGTCCCACCTTGGGCCCAGGAACTGCAACCATTTTCTAACTCAGGAGCCTAGAGACCCTAGATTCAGGTTTTAGATCCCTGAGAACATTATTCTAACTTTAGAAGAACAACAGTTCCCATTAAAGTTTGGGGTGTTTTCTAATGGAATATTTAAAATGGAATTTAAACCAGTTAGTTTTATATTTCCTGAACATCTTCCATGTACATCATTGTGAAAGGAATTGTAAAGGGAGTGATAATATCACTGTGAAAGGAAGCGTAGAGAGAATTGGGGTTCTGTGGGTTTTGGTGATTATAGGAAGAGAAAGGAGGCTTGAGTGGGATGGCTGGCTGGTGGGATGTGGACAGAAGAAGAAAGGGTTGGGACAGTTCAGAAAATTTAAAAAGTGCCCATCCAGCTGGCTGAAGTTGCTGGTCCAAGTTCAGGAGTAATCCATCAGTTCATCGATTTACTTATTAAGCAGCTACACTGTTCATGCTATAGTTGGTACCAAATCTGTAAGAGATTATGACCTTAGCCTTCAGGCTTTGCTTAAGAGTTAGACCTCATATAAACAGAACATATGCAGGCTAATCAGTGCATTGATTTGATGACAATGAGTAAAGAAACATTTTAAAATTGAAGATGAGAGTGATGGGCTCAATTTCTCGTGTAGTCAGTGAGGAATTTGAAACTTTAAATACCAGCACTAGCCTTTGGGCATCTTGAGGAAGCTCATTTTAAATATATATGGCAATTTTTGTTACATTTTTATTTGCACATATTATAAGAATTTTATTCCTTTATTTACTCAGTAACAGGATACCTGCTATGCGTCAGGCTCTGTGGAGGTACCAGGGATCTCCTACACTCAAGGACCTCAAAGTCCAGTAGGAAAGACAAACAAATAGATCCACAAACATGTGACCAGAGGTAAGGACTAGCAGAGGTATTTCAAGAGTGCTGTAGGATCCTGAGGAGGGGCTTTCCATTCTGACATAGGCGTGGATGAGCTCAGGGGTGGCTTTTTTCCCCATGTTTGACCTGAGTGAGTTGAAACCCACTCCAAGTCATCTCCACATTTTCTCTCTTCCTCATAATCCCCATAATTGTTCAGGAATTTATCCCTTCTCACCAGGAAACATATAAGTGAGAAAAAGATGGGATGGTATCCAGAGTAGAAGGCAGCGGAGCCCAGGAAAGAGCTTCAGTGGGGCAGAAGGAAGCTAATAGTGAAGTGGGTGCCAAAGGCCAAGGGTGGGGGCCTTTTGAAAGGAAGGGCTGGTTTGCAATATAAAATGTCACTCAAAGGTTGGGTTTGGATAATGTATGAAGAGTGTCCTTTTGATCTGACAGCTGAGAGGTTTTTGGTAACAGAGCCAGTGGGTAACACTGAGAAGGAGATGGTGTTTCTCTGAGATACCCACTTTGGGCTGTCACCTTCACTTTGGGTGGTGTTTCTTTCTACACCACCACATACCCCAGAAAGGAAAGTTACCCCTAGAAAACCTGGAACTTCTGACTGACATCCCAGTGTCCTCCTATTCTACTGAAATGCACTTGTCCTATCTGCCATCTCGAGACTCTCCGTCAAGTTTGCTTTACTCCACAGTGATGTTTTTCTGAGTAAACCAGAAAAAAAAAAAAGAAAGAAAGAATTCTTACAGACAGGCAAAGACTAATGAGCAAATCTGCAAAAGCTGTCAGCCCCCTTTCCCCTGTAACATGCACGGATCGTGGGGCGTCATGCTTCTGAGTGTAGAAGGAAGTGTTCTGCAGAGGAATGGCTTCAGTGGTGGAGCTCTATGCACAGAGAGGAAGGGCTGGCCAGCTGGAGACTTTGTTTGAGACCACAGCAGCCTTGCTATGTGCTATGGTCTGAATATTTGTGTCCACCTCAAATTCATATGTTGAAATCTTAATGCCCATCGTGATGGTATTAGTAGGTCAGGGCCTGTGGGAGTTAATTAGGTCATGAGGGCAGAGTTTAATGCCCTATTAAAAATGCCCAAGAGCGCTTCCTTCTGCCACATGAGGAAACAAGAAGTATCAACTCAGAAGAGGGCCCTCGCTCAAACACTCTGGCACCCTGATCTTGGACATCCAGCCTCCAGGACTATGAGAAATACATTCCTACTATTCCTTAACTCCCTAGTCCATGGTATTTTGTTATAGCATCCCAAGCAGACCAAGACACTTTGCCTCTTAGATCACATGTACTTGTGCATGGATGGCAGATGGGGTGGGGGTGGGGTGGGGGGGAAGAAAGAATGGAGATGGGAGGATGGAGGGACAGAGGCAGAAGAGAAAAAAAGAATAAACAGCAGAGGAAGTAGTTTTAAATTTTCCCTGTTATCAGACAAGAACTTGAATCACACACCCACACCCATAGTTTGGCCCTCAAGCTTTATCTCATCCTTTATGTCCCTCCAGATAGTAAAACACCTGAAAATATCTTCAAGCCTATTCTTCAGCTTGGCAACATTTCCTGCCTGTCATCTGGAAATCACAGAGGCCTGAAATCACATCTCCTTTCCAGGGCTTTATGAGAAAGTGCTCTTGGGAGAAGGTGAAGAATGGGCAAAGGCAGAAGTTGAGCTGGGATGCAGACCCAGGAGAAGCCTCAGATAACCCTGCAGGGAATGATGAAGATGGGATGCCCTTGAAAGGCAACAGAGGGCCTTTCTAAGCTGGAGTCATCCAGTTCCTGGATGTGGTTGAGGAGTCAGGAGCATGGATTTAGGCGAGAAAGGTGGTTTTCTTAAACTGTGGCAATCCCCAAAGGAGGCCAAAAGATAAGGGCTCTCTGTTGGTGGCACTCCCCAAGGCTGAGATAAGGGCTCTTTTATTCCTGAAGGGCTTTCAGGTAGCTTATTACATCCATTGCACTCTTCGGTGCTATATAACATCATAAAATTTTGCAGATAGAATAGAGGAGGAAATAAATATTGCAGAAGCATGTTGTCAAACTGCTATTAAACAGAACATTAGCTTTGAAAATATTACCCATTCAATTATATTTCTCCCCATTATAATGACTTTTGCCTTCCAAAGGGGTCACTGAAGAACACTTTGTTTCACAGAGCAGCCAAGCTGTAAATATGACTATCTAGATATAGAGAAACAGCAATTTTACAATTGTGATAGCAAAGAATGGTTAGAAATAAAGGGAAAATAAAATTTTTATTTTCTTATTTTATCTAGTGATATTAAAACCCAAAGGATTGCTGTTGGTTTGGCAGCAGGCAAGGAGGTAGATGTAACTTACTCCCTGCTCAGCAGGAAGCCTTCAGCGGCCTCTGCCTTCCTTGCTAATTCCCCTT